GGAAAGACAAGCAGTCTTTACCCTTGAAAGGGTGATGGCCCTTTGCCATAGAGCATATAACAAACAAATCCCAAAACACTGGATTTGAACTCAGTGGGAATCTGGATCTGAGTCCAAAAATAAAGTAGTGGCTCGTGTTACTTGGCCATTCCCATATGCTGGAGGAAAGCTAAATCTGTATCCTAGTATAAGCACTGAACTCTGTCTTTCCTTTTCTCTTTCTTTATTTTCTGAGCATAGTTGTGACTACTCTGTATTGACTTTTCTTATATACAGCCTCTCCACAGGCTTGTCCCCAGGTGCTATGTACTATTTATAACACAGAGTAATCAATTGCCTCTTCAATTAGTGACTCTTCCACTGTTTTTTTCAGCCTCCCCTGGTCAAGTGTTCTGCAGGATTATAGCCAACTAGTCTTCCTTCACAGTAGTCATTGCTGTAGAAAACACTCCCAGATTGGCTACACATCTACTCCTTACACTACTCAGCGGGAAAGTCATGGGCAGCAGGAGACATTAAGCTTTGTCACATAGCTAGAAAGCACTGTACCCTACTTGTGGTCCAATGACCACTGCAGTGTAGAGCAGGGCTGTGGGATACGTGCAGTGGACTACATGGACTCCCTGGGAAGGCAATGCACACAACTCTCCCCCTGCCATGTGACTGAATGTGTGATGAGCAAAGTCAACCCTACCTCACGGCCTGTCTCTTGGGTGCATATCCATTCATGGGAGCTGATCAAACAGCCCAAAGTGCTGGGAAAGAACATCTTTGGGAGCAAGTTGGATGTTGTCACAGTTGTACTTCTCTAACACAAACTTTGTGTTACAAAACCACCCTATTTAACTTTAAACATATAAGCTCAAGTAGTAGAGCAGTACAGCTGGAGAAACCGTCCATATTGTGTACACAGAGGCTCAATTTGATGTCCCACATGTAGGTTCATGGTGTTGTTTGAGATGCTCCAGGTGTTTCATATATCCATGGCCTCACAGATGGGAAGCAGAGCCCGTAGTAGACTAGTGCTTTCTGGCAGCTGGTAGCCAGGCAGGGTACTCTAGGACATCTCAAGTGACTCTAAGTGCTGAGGTATGGGGAAGTGAATTGAGCCCTGTGGCTTGAACTCATGTGACTGTAGGTGTAATTCTAGAATATGCCATCAGTATTTGGCCACCTGACATACTCTTCCTCGGCTCCCATCAGATTAAGATATTTACAAGTAGGTGCCTACATGAAAGCAGGGTATTTCTCTTTCCAGACCTGAAGGATGTCCAGTTAGATGGAGCATGCAGAGTGATTCACCTCATCCGAAGTAGGGACATGGATGCAGTGAGTCCAGCTGCCAACGCTGAGAAGGACAAATCTCCCACAAACACTATGTCATATTTGCCATCTGTATGGGAATGTTCTGAATGCCTTGGGTCTCCCAAATTGTATCAGATGCTTACAGTTCAGGAACTGAATCCTGCCTGAAATGTAGATGTTAGCTAAGAGAAATCCCTGTGCTCAAATGTTGCTGATAGGAGACTGACTACAGATAATAGAGGGATAACAGAAGTACAAGAAACTGTCCAGTGGTTCAGAAACTGGACTGTTTTTTCTGGAAAGCTGAGTCTTTACCCTAGCTTCACGTCTGACATGGCTATATTGCCTCTCCATATCACTGCTTCCCATGTTTTGTCCATCATTTACACTTTGAATGTAAGACTGTGGGGTTGAGACTGACTAAACTTATTTTGTCATGTTGTGCGATTGCTCTCCGATGTCAGTTAGCATCTCCGTAGTGCAGAGACACTCAGCTGCAGACTTTGCTGCCAATTAGCTGAGTACAGATGCATGAGGATGACTGAGGCTGATTCCTGGTGGCGTTGTTTGTTTCTTCTTTCTTCCTCTAATGCTTAAAAATAACTTTATTTTTAGGACAAGATAGGCGCTGAGAACCCCCGATGCTGGCCTTGGATTTCGATGTAATGGAATGTCTTCTCATTTTTCAGCCCAGATTCCCATTACAGAGCTACAAAATGTGCTGTCCCTAATGTTATTTGGATAAATGTTTTTTTGTTTGTTTTGTCTTGTTTCTTCATGGGAAGAGGGTGGCCTCTGTGGAGATTCAACTTCACTCAGGAAACTGAAGAAACTGGAATCTGAACTATGAATACCTGGGCATTGTCATTTTTTTCTGATAGAGAATATAAAGAGCAAAACAAAATTGTTAGGGGAGGGGGAAGAAAAGGGGAGTAATTTTTTTTCATGACTAAATAAATCAAAAAATGTATTCGTCATTTAGCCATATCTTTCCCTCCCCTCCCCTCTTCCTTCCCAAACAACTGGACCTTTCTTTTCGTGTTTATTGCATTTATAAAAAAATAGCTGTAAGAGGGTAAGGGAGAAAAGAAACTAAACCAGTTGTGTAAATCTCATGTATGCAAGGAATACTCTTAATTTTTAGAGAAAAATAGTAGAAGTAGAATGTCCAGCAATCAGCATGGCATTTGTTGAGCGTTGTTCACATGTTTCTCAGCTTTGGAAGATACCACCTTTAACATATAAGATGCAAAGGAAAAAAAGCAAAGCAAACCAGAAGTGTATACAATGTTTGCTAAAATGCATCCCTTCTCCACCAGGATTACTTCCTATTCCAACAGTCTGACCTATGAAACAAGTAAAACGCCTTTCCCAGTGCAAACTCGAAATTGTTCTCATATACATATCTTGGTCCTGTAGCTTTTCGCAGTAAAACTTGGGATTCTTTGTCACCTGGTTTTATCATTGTTTCTGTGTCTGTGTGAGGGAAGGGGAAACGGGAAATAAATGCTGTTGGGAAAAACCTCAGTAGAGGCAAAGGAAAGCTGAGAAGCGTGAAAAAGCACACGGATTAAGTTGGCTCATTTTCTGTGGAATAATAATTTAAAAAGTAAAAAAAAAAAAAAAAAGCTATATCCTTTGGAGGTGGAAAAAGGAGAAGTTATAGGCTGGTACATTTTGTTAGGAAATACCAAAAAATCTAAATATGCAACACTCCATTTAAGCAAGAGGTATTGTTAAAACAGACAACTTGGAAACTTAGTAAAGGAAAGATAATCAGTGGAACATTGCAATACCGGAATATGAACTGCATAGCAATGACTGAATAGGTCATCTCCGCGGAGAAGAATTGCTATGAATGAGAGAACACAAACAATCAAATTACGTGAATATACAAGCTGTAACAAAATGTACCACTGAATAGCCATAATAGAAAATCAACAGTTAGAAAGCTAAATGTGTTATCAAGCTGATGGCAATAACAATAAAATGCTAAAGGAAATTCAAAAGGCTAGTGCAGAGGGAGGAGTAGAAAGATGTTAATAATGACAGGAATGTCTTACATCCAGCCTGGGTTAACTGTACACAAGGGTGCAAGTAAGAGGCAAAAAAAATTTGTCACCATAAATCACCAGTTTTGAAGAAACTACCTCTGAAGCATCAGTCCTGAACAGAGCCAAGTGCTGAACAGGCCATTGACAAGGCCATGAGATTAGCAACTAGGTTTGCTCTAGTGTGCCAGCGACGGACATCAGAGACAGTGACCACCAGTCATCCATCTCCTCCTCAGGGCTCCCTTTGTGGACATCCGTTTCCATTCTCAGCGTTGGCTCCTGTGATTTCCTAGGGCCTAGTTTGTCTTGGGGCAAACACCATCTCATAAGCATCTTGCCTTCACTGTCTTATAAATACGTATTTGGACCCTAATGGTAGCTTAATATTGTTTGGAATCAAAGGTGTAGAGTCGTTGGAAAATGCAGTTTGTTCTTCCTTTCCTGCTGGTACAATGAATCACTTGGGAATGTCTCCTGTCTTCTGTGATACTCTTACAAGGATATCTCTAGTTTAAAGACCCCTTGATCTCTAGGACTCATAGAGCTGAGAAGCTCTGTGAGGGCTCAGTACAGAAACACTCTGCTAGTAGGTACCATCTGACTACCTCCTCTGTGTCCTCCATCCTCTGTTGTTCTGTCACCAAAACTTACCTCTAAATTGGGCTATTGCCATCACACAATGAGTCCTACATGGCCTAGTCTAGGGCCAAACCTGCCAAAATTTCCATCAAAATCAAAGCATGGTTGTTTGTTCTGACTTCTTTTCAGAGAGATTTAGTTACCACATCAGGTGCAGCTTAGGTGGAGAAGAAATCCTAATTGCTCTAGTGGGCCATCAGCTGCTTTCTTCTTAACTGCTAAACACAAATCCACCACTCTGCCGCTACTCAGACTCCTAGTAAGGGGACACCTGGAGGTATTATATCTAAATCTTGCACAATATTTCACCATGCATTCCCCAAACAACATCTGTCCTCATCCACAGACACAGGTGAGATTTTCATCTGGGCATATGGGTGGCATTCACCCATCTAAGTGCAGATATCTGTAGAGTTGGTGTATCCATCTGTCCTAGGCTTCAATGCTTATCTTATTGGCACAGATGGTGTCTGTACCATGAGGATTACACATTATTACTGTTTTTGTTACTGTATTTGTTGTTGCTGTTACAAAAGTCACAGTTGAAACACCCTCATCACATGAATCCAGCAGCTGGGACTTACATGAGGCTCACAGCTATTGCAGGAAAACTTGAAAGGCTGGTAGTGCTGCAAGTGAGCAAGCAAGTCCTTTGATGGAGCAACATGAGAGGCAAAGACCAACAGGCCAAGCACAACCACCTGAGTTGATGTGCACCAGCCAAGAGCACAAGGCAAGAGGACTGCCAAAGGGCAGCACACGGGGCAAGCTGGGCTCACCAGTGGCCCGGTGAAGCAGAACAGAATAAAATAGCAGCTGGTGTTTCACCCCAAGTGCCTCGGCTGGGCTCTTTGAGGAAGGAGCCGCAGGTCAGTCCAAGGTGCATAAGCAAAGCTGTGTGTGGGAGATGGCTGGAATTGTGCCTATTGCCTTCCGTGTCTCAGGACATGTTATCGCTGAATTTTGCTTTCATGAGCACAAGATTCACTCACAAGCAAACCGGAATAAATAAGCAATACCTCGCCCTTCCCCTCCTCCTCTCCCTTACCCCTAACCCCAAATTAAGAAAAAAATAACCTTCTATCTAGAGAATGTTTCTTTAAAAAAAATGTGGGCAGGGGACATGCCAAGTTTCTAGAAGATCTTTTTATAGCAGTAGCATCTGGCTCTTTGGGAGACTCCGTAGGGAGTTTTGTTGGTGACTTTACATCTGCTGTGGTTAAGCTGCTAATGGACTGGCTGTCTGGGCCGCTGCCTGCTCTGCTGATTTCTTAGTACCATGCTTTGGTTATTTGAGGTGTTTGAGCCCATTGACTTCTTGCCAGAATTACATAGTACATTCCAGCAGTAACTTGCATTGCGACACCCAGTCATGCAGAAGGGGTTTCAGATGGAGCAAGGATATTGGCTGGCATTTCATTACCCTCTCCTTAAACCCACCCAAGCCTGGATTAGAGCAGGGGGTGAAGTGTGGATATTTTTGATCCGGAAGCCAAAAGGAAAGTGAATACTGTAATATTTTTTCAGTGATGTCTACAAGCAAATAAACAAGTAAATACATCAATAGTTTAATTTGGAGGTCAATTAAAAATACTTTGCCCCCTAGTGATATGTTCCAGCTCATTTTTTCACTTATTCATCACTCTAAAGGCTATTTTTTAACCTCAACTAATTAATTCTGCTTTGGAGCGAAAAATCAAAATGCATCCCTCTGCATCATTTTGAAACGAAACATTTTTATATTTTCAACATTTTGCTCTATGACCAGAACTATTTTTTTCAGCCAAACCTGTTGTCAAAATTACACCTGATTTTAAGCATGAATTTCCTCCATAATGCCATTCCCTAGAGAATCTGCAGTTTTTCCCAGAACTGGTTTCAGGATTCATTTTTCTCAGCTGACCCTTTTGGTTTTTCATAGCTTTTGCTCCTATGATAAGATTAATTGGCCATTAGAAGTACTGTTTTTTCCCTCCACTGAGAATAAAATGACCATAAACAACTACTTCAGGTATAGGCTTTTTGAACTCAATTTGATAGTCTAAACAGTGATATGTCTTGTCATTTGCAGTGCTCTAGGCTATTGCCCCATTTTGCTCAGAAGTATGCATAACTTCTGCAAGTCCTGTTTTGATTTTTATGGATGAGATTCATCCTGTTCAACCCATAAACTTGACCAATCTGCTCACAGACAGAGACTGTTGCTTTACAGGCCTTGCCTGCATACTACTTCACCCCCTCCACCCCTACCAAGATAAAGCCCCCCAGGGTAAAAATAGATTTCTCTATCTGATTGCAGTGGCAGTGTTTCTGGAAGAGTAATGATGTGAAAATATCTGTGAATTCATATTTACTGGTAGAATTAATATCTGATTATATGATACTGATCTTAAAAACATATATGAGTGTTTATGCAGAGATGTAACCACACTGCACAATGTAGACAATGTGAGCTATGAATTCACCAAACGCCTTGTGATATAGCATAGTTATTTTTTCCTAGTTTTATTTAACATAGAAAATTCTTTGGATTCCCTAAAGTTCCTTATGTAGCCTGTGTCCATCTATCCTTCTTCTCCCATTTATCTGGTGAAGTTGTTGAAATATGTCAAAAGCCCAGCAGAACAGCAAAATGAATGTTTTCATTTATAAATCCAAAAGTGCCTGTGTTTCTGAGCTAGCTGTTCTGTGAATTCCTTCACTTTCCTGTAATAAAAGTGCCACAGGAGAGTTATGATGCATGCCAAAGATAAAAGACAGGAGAAACGAAGAAAGAAAAGTATCTATGTGTGTAGGTAGACTGAATTAAAGCAACTGTGTGTCATTTGGGACAGCACTAGCATTTGAAGCTGTGCTTCTGTTCCCACCAGGAAGAATCAATGGATGCATAGGAATAAGCACACAAACACATAGATAACACAAACTCACACAGAGTCTCTCAACATGTGGTTTGACATTTCTGGAATGAAGTTTCTAGTCTGATGATACTAGGCTTTTGGGAGCCTAGTAACAGATTTAGAAAAAAACCAAAACAACCCCAAAACCCATGGTTGTGCAACAAAAAGTACTTCTCCGGTGCAAACTCACTCTGTGTCTTCAGACAAGCTCAAAACTTCTGAGGTACTTCACCACTTAGTTTAGGTAGAATTACAGGGCATCACCTTTGTCTACCAACTTGATGCTGGCTTGCCAGAAATAAAACATCAGTAGTATCTTTCTGTAGCTTCTGTAGAGCAGGTATAAGAGTAGAAACTCAGCACACGCTCTGTGTCGTGCACGCCAGAGAGAGTGACAGGATCACGGTTGCACACTCAGGGCTAGTCTGGATGAAAATCTGTGCATGTAGTTTGTCTGTGAGCCCCTTCCAGGTGCAGCCACAGACAAACTTACATGTGCCAATATATAAAAACAGAGACACTACTTGAAAATCCTTTGGTAACTGCCATTCCAGAAGGCACCTTTTGCATATGTGACATACCTCTTCACATTTGTCCTGCATTTCTAATCTTCTAGCCGCGTGAGGATGTAGTTGTCCACAGAGCAGATCAAACTGTGTCTTAACGGCGGCAGATCAGATATTGCTGGAGCACCAGGCAGGAGCAAAATGACTTTCATTGTAGAAAAAGTGAAAAATATGTGCTTCAGGGCCAGAAGAAGAGGGCATAAGTCTGTCATGCAGTGCTTTTCTGAGTGAAGGAAGAAAAACAGCCTTGGGGATTCCTGTCCTGATCTAGGCAGACATATCCTCAATCCATCCC